ATATTACTAAACTCAGATTTTATTAGTTAAGAAATATTACCCCAGTTTTTAAATATTTTTTTAATTAGGGAAAATATTGTTGATCATTTTCTGAAGTGATCCTACAAATTTTAGTAGCAGGCGATAAACATTGTTGTTTGCAAACTCAAAGACTACAGCGCGTTGCATATAACGTCAGTGAGTGGTTGATATATATGAATATAGAAATTCAGATCTGGAGCCGATTGCGTGTATATATATATATATATATATATATATATATATATATATATATATATATATGCGTATATATAATGTTATCAAAGATATATATTTGTATATAATGTTATCGCATAAAATATTGATATATTTCTTAAATAAAGAAATAAATAAAAGCGATAACATGAACTGCCATGGGAAGACGGAAATATACGATGTATGAAAATGATGAAAGTGAAATTGCACCAAGAACAAGAACTCTATGATAATGCCTTACGAAATCCGAAAGTACCACAATATTTAAATGTATACCGGAAATCAGAGAAATAGTTCTAAATAAAGAAACATAAATTACTTCTGTAACAAAGAACGATTGTTGGATGTATTAATGAATTATACAATTTCGTTTATAAAAACCGAAATTGTATAATTCATATGCATGTTATTCATATGCATATTATTCTTACAAATGTTCAGATCTAGGTTGAAATTAACAATTTTCTACAATAAAGATTTGCCCGTCCTCTGGTCAGTTTACACTCTGCTCGCAATATTTACGGATAAAAGAGGTACCGATCCATTAGATGCCAGTAAATTCGCGTCCTACCAAAATATTTATCTATCAGGCTTGATAATTGACAGCGCCGAATATATCTATAACGGCACAACTTTGGTGTGATGTTGGAATAAACATTACACGCAGTTCACACCGGACAGTCGTATCCACCAGCAGGGTGACCTGAAAACAACACTGGTCACCGAATAGAAAAGCAGGTGTCCTCATCCTTGCATTAAAAAGCTGTCTTCTTGACCGTCCTGGGTATGACGATAAACTACGTCAAACAGCAAGGGCTCTGATCAGGATATTTTGAGGAGCATGGAACCACCTCTTAATTAATTGCTGTTGTTCGCAGGTCCACCCTGGCCCGGAATGGTAGCACTTGTTAGGGTGCCAGCTATGGGCAAATAGTTAACACCCAAACTTGTGTAAAAATAGGTTTTAACACCAGAAATACTTTGTAATAAAAAAGAAAAAAATTACAAGCAATATTTTTTGAAGAAAAAAAATATTATCAGTCAGCAATACTAAAAAAAAAAAAATAGTAATACAAACAGTTATACATTCTTAAGAAGTTGGTTTGTACTAAAAAATATGAGTAATTGAAAAATGGTTCAAATATATATGTATACATAGACACCTATTTCAAAGATTTTGTTGGTATTAAATGACCCACTGAGATTGATAGGCCATAAAACAAAACAACTGACCAACCAACTCAACCTTGCATCCAGTTTGCAGACGTGGGGATTTTTAATGATATAAGCGGCTATAATAAACAATCCGTCTAGGATAATTTCGAGCAAAATCTCTTTACACATCGTAAATAGAATGTGAGTTGTATGTATCGCAACAGTGCTCCGAGGTCCGCTTCATAACCACAATGGCCGAAAATAACTCACGAAAGTGAATAAAATCTTAAATTATTGTGAAGTGTATAAAATTTAAAATTATAAGGATTCTTGTCCCATCTTTTAATCCGTGTACCCACTTCATAACACAAGCACCGTCTTCGCACAAATATTCATACACAGACACGTACACATGAACAAGGGGAAATTTCAAATATTTATCCGACCTTGTGGTAGAACCGAGCATATGTGAGTTCCTGCTTTTCATCTTAGCAGAAAATTTTATTCGTTCGTGTTGTGTTGAATGAAATTAAGGCAGAAAGACTCATATATTTCCCGCATGTATCTGAGCTCTCTGCACTGTTTTCTTTCTTTAACTTTTATTCTTTTCGATTGACTCTTTTCAATTCAGTCATCTGTTTCATCTACTGAGTTTAATGACCTGATTCCACCGCAACTGTCAGTACATCAAACTGCATTCTGGTGAAGGTCGTGAAAAATGATATGCAACTCTCCGCTGCTGAGTGCAGATAACGAGTTCACTACGGATATAAAAGAACCCGAGTAGCGGAAAACTAACTATAATTTCCCTCATTTGTCTTCATTAACTGTAAAGGAATGGTGGAGTAATGGATAGCGGCTCGGATTGAGGAATCGGAGAGCCGCAGTCGAATCCATTCACTTACGTACTAATACCCTTGGGAAAGGTATGATCCTTTTCTTCTCTCCCCAGTTAAATAGCAGGACAGACCGGGTTCTATAGCCTTGAAAGAAATGGCAACCTACTGCGGGAAAAATCGGCCTCGTTAGTTATGTATCGAAAGGTACATGATCGCCAAAGCGTGTATCACGCATGGCACACAACTGACTGAATTAGAAGAAATATTTAACAAGGACGAGATACCATTTTTTTTCTAATTTGTTTCAAAATAAATAAATATGTGTATGTGTGCGATCAAAACCAAGCGGCGACAGTCTTTTTCTCTCTTGTACACTATCTTCTGGTCGTTTGACAGATAGTCACCGTTTGGCTTTGATTTCAGTGTCCCTAGTGAGAGAGATCGTATTTGTGCGTTTTTTTATTTTCTTTTTGCCGTGGCTGTGATTGTATATTATAGATAGTTTATGAGTCACAAGGCCACAGTAGAATTTGGAATCGACTTCACTTTCATATAATTCTAGAACATCATTCTAAGGAAACCTGTTTGGTATTAATATGATTTACCCTATGGGTTTAATATTATAACATCTAAAGTAGATTGAACTCATATCAGTGTTCTGCGTGAAAAAGTTTGTCAACCATCGCACTACAGCAGATGTATGTCTGTGTGCACGGGATCAGCTCTTTGCACTTCTGTAATATGCATGCCTACAGGTCGATTTTGTCGCATTCAGTATAAAGAAAGCTTTTGGGTATTTTTTTAATCAACGGGAGAAAAAATAGTTTAACATGAATAATGAAGTTTGCCTCTTTTAATGTTTTCTTTTTACTGCTCGGAGGAAACATCTTGTAAAATAGAATCGAAAAATGGACTTTTCATGAATGAAAATAGATTTGAAAACATACGCATCAGCTATTAATAAAAATGATTTCTCATTTAGGCGTAACAATTTTAATTGTCTTCCTCGGAAGACTAAAAAACTATGAGTGAATTAATAGCAACAGCAACGACAAACAGGAATTTCACGTATGAAAATAATAAGAACAACAATAATAACATTGCTGGTGAGGACAATGCACTCTAAAAGCCACAGGTGATATCGACAAGCTTTTATGTAAAGATGAAGAAAGTCGGAAGAGAAGTAAAAAAATATCAAATACTGTGTTCTCTCGACGATAGAGAGACTTATAGAATACATACAACAGAACATAGAAAGACTCGTGGCAAAATATCGTAAAAGCAAATTAAATGTAAAAAAGGATAACAGATGAAGGAAGCAACAAATAAATAAGTGTAATAAAAATGAATAGACATAAAAATTTCACAGAAATATCTTATCCTATGAACATAGAGGAGATTCATCAGAAACCTTTATGGCAAAGCAAAAATACGCAGAAGGCCAATAATTATTGTAAAAAAAATACGGATGAGATTTTCAACAACAATGAATGTATATACAGCAAGCTGTTTGGAAATGGTATACCAAACAGAATATGAAGTGTGATACCCTGAGAATGACAAGGCTTTGTCTTTTTAAACAAATGACATGAGGTCGAATCAGAGGTTCTATAAGTTAAAATATGTCTATTCCATCGAAGCAAGAAAACAAAATTTGATAGCAACAAAGAAAAATGTTTCGCTTGGTAATTATCATTTCCAGATATACGAAAGCCATCCGATATCATCCAAGTAGCAGCCTATTTATGGAAGTTAACCAATAATGCTATTTCCATCATTATTAGACCAATTTAAACCGTACGAAATAGCAAAGAGGCGCTATTGAAGGTAGGACTGAGAATTTTAGATCACAGCGATACTGAGAATAGTGACAAACGTGTTGAAGACTTGAGGAAATAATCTCTAATTCAGGTTCAATCGATAACCATCAGATATCTGATGTGAAAATACAATTAAATCACCCAATCACAGAGTGAATATAAAGGAAAGTGAAAATACAAGAACCTTGCTTGGGATACGAACAATGTATGGAATATGAAGGTTAGAATTCTACCCATAATAGGAGACTTTCTAGGAGCCGTGCCAAAAACCCTAAAATTGAGAATGATAGATTTGGAAATACGAATAAGCGTACAGAGAGAAAACATTGATCTTAGAGATTAATCCAAGTATCTGGTGGGAACATGCAAATAAATTGATAAATGAATAATAATAATAATAATAATAATAATAATTGATATGTTTTGCGATAATATTTATTCAAGTTGCGTGAATGACATTTTGAAGCAATCTGTCACGTGACTGGACAATCATACATAAAAGAGAGCAAACGTACAAATTAAAGGGAGAAATAAAAGAATGGGGAGGGAGTGTTACTTTCATTTCTTGAAAACTTTTTGGAAACTTCCACTTCCTGCCAATACCTTAGATCTCCATGTCTGGCTATCTTTCTCTTCCGTTTAAACAATTCGAAAATTTAAAAATGAAATAAATAAAAGATTATGCAGGTTTTGACACCAGCATTTCGATCTTCGTGATTTTCTTTACCATCATTCGCCAGTTATTTAAAAGTTATTTTTATTTTTAGCTACAACCATTTAATTTTTCAAACTTCGTTTTTTTTTTTTTTAATTCAGTTGAATTTGGATTCTTATTTTTATTCGCTTGTGGTATTTTTCGTCTTGTAGAATTCAATTTTATAAAAATTTTATTCGTTTCTTTGTTTGAAATAATTTTTTTTTCAATTGCACCCGTCCATTAGTCTTAAATTTTATGTACTTCTATTCTTTCCCTCTTTTTCTTTTCTTTTCTTTCTTTATCATTTATTATTTTGGTATTCCCATTTATATTTATTTTTCATAGTATTTCTTTATTCTTTCCTCTTTATTCAGCGTATTTCAGTCAATCATTCGTCCTTTTAATTCTTTTTATTTTCATTAATTTTATTTGACTTTGGTTTATTTCGAATCTATTTTTCCTTTTTTACAAAAAACGACTTCTTTTATTTGTTCGTTTATTATTTTTTCTCTTGTTAATATTTTTTATTTCTATCCTTCATTCATTCTTTCTTTATTTTTTCTTCCTTCACATATATCTTTGCGCCATTTTAATCCTTATCTTTCTCCATTTTGATTTTTATTTCAAAAAATATTTCTTGCCGTTTTTTTTTCATGTTTTATTTCGAATTGACTTTCTTTTTTTTCATTCTTCTCCTCTTCATCTTTTCAGTTAATCTACTCTTTTTTAAATATTTTTCTTTCTTTCTTTCTTTCTTTCTTTCTTTCTTTCTTTCTTTCTTTGTGTTTACTCTCTTCTGTTTTCCTCCATCTATTTTCCTTTATTTTACACTTGTCCTTCTTTTCATGACTGGTCTTTTGTGTTGCCCATTTCTACCGCCCCATTTGAAATATGTTTTAAACATGAATCTCTTTCAGCATTTAGCATACACGCAGATCGAAAGAAGCCGGCGCCATTTTGGAAGCCATCCTGACACAAGTCATTTCTTACAATTAAATTACAAATCTTTTCGCCAAAACACGTCACGCATTTACACGCGCAATTCTCATTATAACGAACACTTCTTCAGTGAAGATTTAAAAAAAAATCTTTTCAAACTAAAATAATCTTCAAAATCAACGGCAAAAAGACGCATTTTTGCGTTTATTTTTAAACTTTTAAACAGTTTTAACTCCCCTTGCTTTATTTTTTTTTCCCAAAACATAAAAAAAAAAAATATATATTTCTTTTCATTCGAGTAAGATTTGAAGGAAATATGCAGTCTTAGAAAAAGACTCGCCTGCACTAAAGTTTGGTCCACTCACACCAGAATTTTGCAATAAAACTTTATGCGCTGGTTTCATTGAGTTAGATTCATCATAGCAACTGGCACCAAAAAATGGTAAAAACTGAATAAATTTCTTTACGTAATCGTTAAAAATCTATCAGTCGTCAATAACCTTTATATTTCTCTGGTCGCCGTGAACAAATCTTTCATGTACTTTCTGTATATATAGACAAAAGGCGACTACCCTATAACAATGGTTTTCAAATCAGTCTAGCAGATCATTGCTCGCGTCACCATTTGCATCTTCTCAGCCTTCAGTCATTAGAGGCCTTTAGCCACACTTAAAATGACATATAGAGCAGCAGTAGGGCAGTTTGATTTGCGGATAATTAAGAAAAAGATCAATTTTGATTTATTACCTCCTTTATCAGGTTTCGTTGATAACCTTACAAATTATAGAGAACTTATTCAGTGAATATTAATTATGTTCGCTTACCACTGGACGTTTTACATAATTTTCTCATTGGGAAGGTGAATTTCAAATTATTTATATTATTTATACTCAGACTAATGTCTTCATCTTCTGCCGAGTCCGGTAAGTTTAGGGGAATTTCAAATTGAACCTTTTTTATTTAATCTACGGATTTAGTTTGTTCTCGCTACGTTGTCCATCTCTAGAGATATCACTTTTTGTATACTTTTATTATGGCTCATTTTGTGCTTGTTCACTTTTCACTGAGCCAGAGTCAGTTCAAAATTCACTGAATGTTACCTGAAGCAGTACTAGAAAGAGAAGATGGGTTATCCCTAGATATGTACATTCAGACATTCATTTGAAATAAGTAAATAAATCAATATCGATATGCAATATCGATTATTATTTGTGAATATCTCCAACTCTGTGTGGGATATATTCATCATTGGTGGCTAAATACAGGATTTAATTACTGACACTCTCTTGAACCTTTTAAGTAAAATAAAAGTGTTGTTTTTAAGTAATGAATGATTTTGTAATATTAATGCCTGGACTAAGGAAAATATTTCAACTCCGAAATACAGATGAGCAATAAAAGACGAAGAATTATTCTCCCGGAATCTAATAGCAAAAATAGCAAGGATAAGTTTAATAATTCGTGGATTAATGAACAAATATTTGTAAAGGAAAATGAAAAAAAATCTTACTTCCATTCAAATCATTTGTAGATGATTTATACATCGAAGCAAAACGGATTCAATTTAGTAATAAGTTAGATCTAGTCAGTTTATAGAAAATTTATTCAAAGAGAAGGCAGAAAATATGAAAAAGAGAGGTTTTCAGATTTTTTAAATTTATTTTTGCTCTGAGAATTTGCAATGAGTTTTGTTGTTTTCCATCTTTTACCGTTGCCCACATTCAAAAGTTTAAGAAAACTCACACTAGGAAGAGTTACCTAAAGATACGTACACACAAATATACACATACTAGCTACATCAAAATCTCCTTGACCTAATGATAAGTATTTAATATACATGGCAAATATTTAATTCCAACAAAATAATCTTCCTTGCGAGTCCATTGCACACCTATCTGTTAAAGACAACGATCGAACATTTTCTCCTGAATATTTCACGTCAAAATAACGTTAATAGTTGATATCAGGCTACGGAAATACTGATCCAATGTAAGTATAAGCTGAGAAGTTCTTTGGTAGGCTCACTTTTCAAAATCTGACCAAACAATGATTTAGGAATATTTGTTTTGTCGGGTGAGAAACTTTGTACTACACTCTTATAACATTTTTAAGCATTTTGTTCCCTTAATAAACGTAGGTCTTTCTACTGTCAAATATCAGCTTAGTAGCATAGTACTTGTCAAAAATGAGGAGTTTATTTTCGTTTCTCTCTCTCTCTCTTACACACACATACACACACACACACATATATATATATTCTTTCCTAATAAAATATATACAGACATTATTACGAACATCTATCGTTATTAATTGAAAGTGTAACCTTTCCGTGATATATAATAGATAAATACGACATTGTAATGCCTGTGTTTAAATGCTATTTTACCGATTTTTAAATCGTCCTACAAACTACACTGAACATTCGTAAGCATCAACACTTGTAATTCTGCGACAATTCTTTTCGATAGCAGTCTGTAATTGTACAAGTTTATTGAGCTGGATAAACATTGATTGCAATGACTCTCAATATAAATAAATTAAACGTCGTTCAATCTGTTGATTCCAGTGGTCATTTCTCTCTAGTTCTTTCCTGGTTCTGTCTTGAAATATTTTGTCAAGACCTCATGTGATAAATGCCAATTATATTTACCTCACGCTTTCAGATTTTTTTTGGCGGTGGTGGGAAGGGCTCTAGTGAATACATTTCTGCGAATTCTATTCTTATTTTAGGGATTCAATATATTGTCATGGGAAGAATTGAAATGACAAAGAAAAAAAGAAAACGTCAACTAGATAGAAAAGAATGGGAGAAATTATAATTTTAATAAATTAAAAATCATGTAATAAAATCTCAACCTTAACACGCCCAATTGCCTGTCTGTATGTCGACTAGCCCCTTTCGGCACATCAGCTTAATGGAAATTATGATAATTTACTTATGTAAACAATCAACATATTACATTTAATATAGGAAGACAAACTGCATTTTACACGCGCGTGCACACACACACACACACATATATATAAACTTCAAACGTTATTTTTAGTGCATAAGCGAATTGGAATAGATACTCCCTTTTTTAAACAGTGTTTATTTGGTCTATGGCCTGCCCCCTCGAGAAAAATTAATAAAGAAAATGTGCTCTCCGGTGCGATTCGAACTTGCGTACTCTGTTACAGAGTAATGAATGCTACGTGCTTTGACCGCTCACCTACGGAGACCTTCGCAGTCAAGTAAGATTCTATTTGCCTTCATGGAGAATTACTCGTTGATATTTTTTCTCGAAACCCATATTTATCATAATGTAAACAAAGCAATTTCTAAAGAATCCCGTTGGTTTAGCTTGCAAAGGAGGGTGTAGGTTGGAACCCTTTCAATGAGCACATTTTCTTTATTAAATTTCCTACAGTGAATAGGCCGGTAGAGGAAATATACACTGTTTAAAAAACTGATCGTATACTCAATTAAGTGTATCCGTTAAAAATCTAAAAATAACGTTAAAAGTAATAAAAATATATCGGATTAAAAAGTAAACTCCATTAATATATATATATATATATATGATAGAATACGTAACAAATAGTAATTTTTTTAAATTAAGTTCACCTATCGCACGGTTCAAACTCCTCCCTAGGGCTTTTGAACAGGAGTAGACATTTACTGTTTAGGATTGGGTTTTCGGCTCCTTCTAAAGTCCACTCTATACTTCTAACATCTCCCTCTGAACACTGAAATTTTATTTACTAACTATTTAATTCTTCTTCTTCTCAATAGGAATAGATAAGTTCACCTATCGCCCAGTTCACACTCCTCCCTGATCAGGAGTAGAGATTTATTCCTCGTTTCCTGTTTCGGTTCCTTTTAAAGTCTACTTTAAATCTATACTTTCCCCTTAACTGTGAAATTTTATTTGCAAATTATTTATTTTAAATGGTTTTGACATGTCTTTCTTCTCCTCAATAAGAGCAGAAAGGTTTGCCTATCGTACGGTTCACACTCCTCTCCAGTCTTTCGAAAAGGAATCAAAGTTTTCCCTTGTTCCCTGTTTAGAAATAGGTTTCCGGTTCCTTCTAAATTCTTTTCATTCTCTTTTACTTGAGTCATAGTTGCATTATTGCCTTGCTTGAGGTGACTTAATTTAAAAAAAAAAACCTACAATCTTGAAGGAAGCACATTTGTTCGAATCTACAAAATATTGCAATGTTCTTAAATCTACATACATACGTCAGACATTTTTATCTTAATTATATCAGTAGATGAGGGTTATATAAATGCCCATTTGTGATTCGCAATCTACAAAAGGTTTAAGAAGAGAAAGCCAGATAAACAGACTCTTTATATTGCACCCACCTGATAATTACCTCAAATTTGAACGAAATTTCACTAATGGCGTATTCAATGGCCTAGAATTATATGACACTTTAGTAAAGCAGTAAATCGTTATGGCTGGCGGCTAGTAACACTTCAAAAGAGCAAAAAACAGAGGGGTGTCTTCCTGCCAAAAATAAGAGGAAAGGAAAGCGATTTACGTGCCAAACAACGGAACGAAATCTCTTTGTCTGACTTAATCTGTTTATGTCTGTATCATTTTAACAGTCATTTTTATCAGTCTATTAGTATCTGTTTATGGCAATTCATTCATATCTCTTTCAGGCTAACACAATTTGTCACTTATACCACAATACTCTTACACTTTGCTGTTTATCAAGTTAGCTATCTTTCTATCTATGCATAGTCAAAAAGGCACACACAGTCTCGCACACACATTACACATGCGAAGAATTATCTGGTATAACCATTGTTAAATTAATTAATCTTCTAGCAATAGCAATCTTCGTCGATATGTCTTGGAACTTTAACAAGGATAAAAACATTATCCTCTGATCTTCTGGACATTATTTAACAGAACCTTGATTATG